AGTGGTAATGCCAATGTGGGATAACAATATTCACCTGACAGTATGTAATAGAGCAGTGGTAATGCCAATGTGGGATAACAATATTCACCTGACAGTATATAATGCAGTAGTGGTAATGCCAATGTTGGATATCAATATTCACCTGACAGTATATAATACAGCAGCCGTAATGCCATTGTGGGATAACAATATTCACCTGACAGTATATAATACAGCAGTGGTAATGCCAATGTGGGATAACAATATTCACCTGACAGTATATAATACAGCAGTGGTAATACCAATGTGGGATAACAATATTCACCTAACAGTATATAATACAGCAGTGGTAATGCCAATGTGGGATAACAATATTCACCTGACAGTATATAATACAGCAGTGGTAATGCCAATGTGGGTCAACAATATTCACCTGACAGTATATAATACAGCAGTGGTAATGCCAATGTGGGATAACAATATTCACCTGACAGTATATAATACAGCAGTGGTAATGCCAGTGTGGGATAACAATACTTACCTGACAGTATATAATACAGCAGTGGTAATGCCAGTGTGGGATAACAATATTTACCTGACAGTATATAATACAGCAGTGGTAATACCAATGTGGGTCAACAATATTCACCTAACAGTATATAATACAGCAGTGGTAATGCCAATGTGGGATAACAATATTCACCTGACAGTATATAATACAGCAGTGGTAATGCCAATGTGGGATAACAATATTCACCTGACAGTATATAATGCAGCAGTGGTAATGCCAATGTGGGATAACAATATTCACCTGACAGTATATAATACAGCAGCCGTAATGCCTTTATGGGATAACAATATTCACCTGACAGTATATAATACAGCAGTGGTAATGCCAATGTGGGATAACAATATTCACCTTACAGTATATAATACAGCAGTGGTAATACCAATGTGGGATAACAATATTCACCTGACAGTATTTAATACAGCAGTGGTAATGCCAATGTGGGATAACAAAATTCACCAGACAGTATATCAAACAGCAGTGGTAATGCCAATGTGGGATAACAAAATTCACCAGACAGTATATCAAACAGCAGTGGTAATGCCAATGTGGGATAACAATATTCACCTGACAGTATATAATACAGCAGTGGTAATGCCAATGTGGGATAACAATATTCACCTGACAGTATATAATACAGCAGTGGTAATGCCAATGTGGGTCAACAATATTCACCTGACAGTATATAATACAGCAGTGGTAATGCCAATGTGGGATAACAATATTTACCTGACAGTATATAATACAGCAGTGGTAATGCTAGTGTGGGATAACAATATTTACCTGACAGTATATAATACAGCAGTGGTAATGCCAATGTGGGATAACAATATTCACCTGACAGTATATAATACAGCAGTGGTAATGCCAATGTGGGATAACAATATTCACCTGACAGTATATAATACAGCAGTGGTAATGCCAATGTGGGATAACAATATTCACCTGACAGTATATAATGCAGCAGTGGTAATGCCAATGTGGGATAACAATATTCACCTGACAGTATATAATACAGCAGCCGTAATGCCTTTATGGGATAACAATATTCACCTGACAGTATATAATACAGCAGTGGTAATGCCAATGTGGGATAACAATATTCACCTGACAGTATATAATACAGCAGTGGTAATACCAATGTGGGATGACAATATTCACCTGACAGTATTTAATACAGCAGTGGTAATGCCAATGTGGGATAACAAAATTCACCAGACAGTATATCAAACAGCAGTGGTAATGCCAATGTGGGATAACAAAATTCAACAGACAGTATATCAAACAGCAGTGGTAATGCCAATGTGGGATAACAATATTCACCTGACAGTATATAATACAGCAGTGGTAATGCCAATGTGGGATAACAATATTCACCTGACAGTATATAATACAGCAGTGGTAATGCCAATGTGGGTCAACAATATTCACCTGACAGTATATAATACAGCAGTGGTAATGCCAATGTGGGATAACAATATTCACCTGACAGTATATAATACAGCAGTGGTAATGCCAGTGTGGGATAACAATATTTACCTGACAGTATATAATACAGCAGTGGTAATGCTAGTGTGGGATAACAATATTTACCTGACAGTATATAATACAGCAGTGGTAATGCCAATGTGGGATAACAATATTCACCTGACAGTATATAATACAGCAGTGGTAATACCAATGTGGGATAACAATATTTACCTGACAGTATATAATACAGCAGTGGTAATGCCAATGTGGGTCAACAATATTCACCTGACAGTATATAATACAGCAGTGGTAATGCCAATGTGGGATAAGAATATTCACCTGACAGTATATAATACAGCAGTGGTAATGCCAATGTGGGATAACAATATTTACCTGACAGTATATAATACAGCAGTGCAGTGGTAGTGCCAATGTGGGATAACAATATTCACCTGACAGTATATAATACAGCAGTGGTAATGCCAATGTGGGATAACAATATTCACCTGACAGTATATAATACAGCAGTGGTAATGCCAATGTGGGATAACAATATTCACCTGACAGTATATAATACAGCAGTGGTAATGCCAATGTGGGATAACAATATTTACCTGACAGTATATAATACAGCAGTGGTAATGCCAGTGTGGGATAACAATATTCACCTGACAGTATATAATACAGCAGTGGTAATACCAATGTGGGATAACAATATTCACCTGACAGTATATAATACAGCAGTGGTAATGCCAATGTGGGATAACAATATTCACCTGACAGTATATAATACAGCAGTGGTAATGCCAATGTGGGATAACAATATTCACATGACAGTATATAATAAAGCATCCGTAATGCCATTGTGGGATAACAATATTCACCTGACAGTATATAATACAGCAGTGGTAATGCCAATGTGGGATAACAATATTCACCTGACAGTATATAATACAGCAGTGGTAATGCCAATGTGGGATAACAAAATTCACCAGACAGTATATAATACAGCAGTGGTAATGCCAATGTGGGATAACAATATTCACCTGACAGTATATAATACAGCAGTGGTAATGCCAATGTGGGATAACAATATTCACCTGACAGTATATAATACAGCAGTGGCAATGCCAATGTGGGTCAACAATATTCACCTGACAGTATATAATACAGCAGTGGTAATGCCAGTGTGGGATAAATGATATTTTTATCGTTTGAGGGACGAATGAGATAGAAATTACTTTCTCCTAGCGTAGGGGAATACAACAAAGGGGTGTAATTCAGTCGTAGGTGGCGCCTAATGAGAGTATATAAGGCGTATGATATTTGGATTGTCATTCTCGCTTGTTGTGCACCAAGTATACATTGCGTCATGGATACTTCTGAATCTGGCAATCCCATTAACGACAAACTCGACGCCATTTTAAAGCGCATGGACTCTTCTCAGTTGGATTTGGAACGCAAGATCCAATCTAGAATAGAGGCTAGTCTCGAGGGTGTGAGAGAAGAATTTGCAAAAACCACAAACGAAATCCAGAAATTGAAGGCCGATAAAGACTTTACATGGTCTAGAGAAGGTAATATAATCCAGTACAATTTTAACACAGAGACACTTGAGGCCTTTCGTCAGATTGAATTTGGTCTAGAGTATGGAAAGTTAGACTACATTAAAGAAGTTGTGCAGAGCGAGGTATCCAGGATAGAGAATCGTAATAAGTTGATAAGAATAGCTGATTCTTCCGAAGCTGGTTGGGAGACGGTACGTCACTATGTGTCACGTGAGTTGGCTGAGAACTCTGATGATGACAGGCGTATTACGCGAGCAGAAAACAAGGCTATCAAGAAGATCAAGGCCAAGAATCTGCGATCTTCACGTGGACACCCGTATAGGCCGATATCACGACCTACCTCCAGTACCCAGTCCGTGCAGACCGGTGGGAGTGCGACGCCCGCTGATCCTTTGTCTACTAGGACTCAGCTTTTTCGTGGCCGGGGAGGTCAAAGGTCTGAAGCATGCTTTCACTGCGGTGACTTCTCACACTGGCGTAGGAATTGTCCCCCTCTACGTCAGCAAACATGCCACGTCGGACAGACAGAGTTCAGCCTGATCAGAGTGGTTCTACTGATACGAAAGTTAAGTATCACAGTTTTTGTCAATCTCTCAAGGTTCCATCAGACAATCTGAGATTAACGACAGATTATTACGAGTATGAACAAGGACAGGCAGAAATAATGGTAAAAGGCAGATTAAAAGAAAATATTTCATTTTGGAAGTTTATCAATGCAAGTGATTTTGTTATTGACATCATTGATAATGGCTACAGAATCCTTTTATTCATCCCCAGATAATGGACAGACGAAATAACAGGTCAGCGCTGTGCAATGGTGACTTTGTAGAAAGTGCTATTCATGATTTAGTCAAAGAAGGGTTTGGTCGTTGTTTGTGACAAAGAAACCTACTGTCGTTAGTCCTTTATCTGTTGCTACTCGGTCGTCTGGCAAGAAGAGACTGATTTTAGATCTATCCTTATTAAACAGACATGTTTGGAAATGCTCTGTGAAGTATGAAGACTGGAGAACAGCTCTTATGTACATAAACAAAATGACTGGTTGGTGAAATTTGACATACATTCTGCCTATCACCATGTACATATTTTCGACCCTCATATACTGATTTTTAGGATTTTCTTGGAGTATTGGTGGGGACAGAACATTTTACAAGTTTGTAGTTATGCCTTTTGGGTTGACAACTGCGCCTTACGTGTCTACTAAAATTACACGTCAATTGGTAAAGTACTGGCGATCTCAGTCGTACAGATGTGTGACATTTCTAGATGATGGGATAATGTCTGGTGATAGTTTGAATAGTGCAAGAAGCATTGGGCTAGCTATCAAAGAGTGACCTGATTAAATCCGGTTTTGTACCGAAGGTTGAGAAGTCGTTATGGGAGCCAAGTCAAGTTGTTGAGTGGCTGGGTCTTGTCATTGATACCAGAGTTATGATGTTGTCCATTCCTACACGGAGGCTGGACAAGCTACTGTCGTCTGTCCGATATCTGTTAGATCATCCAGGTAAAGTTCCGGTTCGATCTGTTGCTTCAGTTGTTGTAGATTATTTCCATGAAGATTGTAGCGGGTTCCGTTTGCCAGTTGATGACAAGATCATTGAGTATTCAGACTCTTGAAGTTATTTCCTGGAGTGATTTGATTTCACTATCTCCTGAGAGTAGAGATCAACTGATATTTTGGAAGAACAATCTGCATAATCATAAGGACTGTATGCTAGTAGAACAACGTGTGGTCACTAAAGTAGTATACAGTGATGCTAGTTCTAGTGGGTATGGCGGATATTGTGTTCAGCTTGGCCAGAGTGAGATATATGGACACTGGTCTACAGAAGACGCGAATAAGAGTTCAACATGGAGAGAGCTGATGGCGGTGAAGGTGGTTCTTCAAAACTTGGCTTGGGAGTTAGCCTCGCAGCGAGTAAAGTGGTTCACTGACAATACGAACGTTGAATCCATAGTGTGTAAAGGTAGCATGAAACCAGATTTGCAGGCTATTGCCAGATCTATATACGATGTGTGTTTATCTCATTCTGTGCATTTGGAAATGCAATGGGTCCCTAGATCACTTAATGATAAAGCTGACTTTTTGAGCAAGGCAATTGATCACGATGATTGGGGAATTTCGCAATATATTTTTAGAAATCTGGAGAAGATGTGGGGAAGATATGATGTCGACAGATTTGCTTCTCAATATTTTATTGTATGAAAGGCCATAGGCCCATATACAAAAGAGATACATCTTAACAATGGCATATATAATCAATTTTCTAACTTATCAATTCTTTTCTTAACAAAAATGCATTGTAGATAAATAGAGCAACTTTGTGTTGTTTTGGAGGTTCTTTGCTGGAAAGTAAGGAAGACAATAGATTAACGTTGATTTGAGATAAAGACAGTTGCGGTAGATACTTATTTCTTACATTTTCATATACAGGACAAATAAACATAAAATGGAATTCGTCTTCAATAATAAAACAGAATGGACATAATCTTTGGGTTTTTTTCCATAGAAACATATCTTCCACGGTTAATTAATAAATCATTAAGGCCTAATCTAAACCGTATAAAAGCATTGCGAATATTTCTGTATTGAAGGTGAGCAAGATAACACTCTGGCTCAAGCAACGACTTAAACTGACGATATGAATCGTATCTAGAACTTTCATTAATAGTTGAATGCCATTCCTGCTTAAACATATCAATAGCCCGCATACGAAACTGTTTAATAAACATATTTGCATTGCCAACTGTCTGTGATAACCAAATACAACCAAAACCATATCTAAATAGTAAGGTGCGAATATGAGATGTCCAGTTATTCTTTCCAAGATAATCAAGATGTAAAAGCATATTGAAAGCTTTTTTAGGTAAACGATGTTCAGGCATATTAATTATTTTACACCAATATTTTAAACAACGACAATAAGATGATATGTACAATGGGAACCTCCCACATTCACCATAAACCATAACATTTGGTGTTGACAAACCAACATTTAGAAACTTTTACAGGCAAGCAAATGAATTTTTTCTATGGTATAATACTCTTTAAAACCCCACATTTCAGATCCATACAGTAAAATCGGTTGTATCTGAGAGTCAAATAATTTGAAGTAAATAGTCGGTGGAACAAGACCGAGCATAGGAACAACAGAGTGAAGTTGTAAAAGAGCTTTCTTTGCTCTCCTCGCCAGGTTAAGTACGGACTTATTCAGATTCAGCGTATGGGTAAACAATATGCCAAGGTATTTATAATCATTCACAACATTCATACGTTTATCTTTAAAAAACCATTTCTCTCTAGCCGACAAAGGACCACCTCTTCGGAATATAACGATGTTTGTTTTATCTAGATTCACACTCAACTGCCATTTATCTGTATACGCTGAGAGTATATCTATTTGATTTTGAAAACCAATTGCAGAGCTGGACATAAGAATGACATCATCAGCAAATAATAACATAAAAAGTTCTATTACATCGGGGGAGAGTTGGATGCCATGTTTACCAGACTTCATGATATTTAAATATAATTCGTTAATGAAAAAGGAGAAAAGTAAAGGACTTAAAATACATCCTTGACGCAGACCGACAGGACAATCGAAAAAGTCACTTACACCATAGCCACAGCGGACACATGACTTTACATTGGAATACATCGATCTTATGATACCATACATTTTACCTCTCAAACCTATATTTCTTAGGCATTTCCACATTCTACCTCTATCTACAGAATCAAACGCCTTTTGAAATCTACAAAAGCTACATACAACTTTCGCTTGCTAAAGGATAAATATCTCTCAATAATAGCATACAAGGTAAATATATGATCAAATGTTGAGTAGTCCTTTCTAAATCCAGCTTGAGGTTCCGGTATTAAATCTCTCATATTCGACCACTGTGTTAACCTACTGTTGATAATAGATGTAAAAGTTTTACCTAGAATACTAGTCAGAGAAATACCCTATAATTGTCAGGATTTTGTGCATTTCCGTTTTTATATAACGGGATAATAATAGATTGCGCCCATACGGAAGGAAAACGACCTGTATCAAATATTCGATTGAACATTTTAACCAGGAAGGGCATAATGTCAGGTAATGAGTATTTTAGCATTTCTGAAATAACACCATCAACTCCAGCAGATTTACCAACTTTAAGACGAGACACAGCATTCAGTATATCATATTCCGTAATAGGTGATTCCAGCACAAGCCTATCAACATCGTTAAACTCTTCATTTAGCACATCGCTGTCACAATCTGATAACCAATTGTCAACATCGTAAGAAATATCTTCCTTGGAAAAGAGATTCTTAAAATGACATAACCATTCCGTTTGCGATATATTTACTATGGGGGTAGAGCGACTTTGCAGAGAACGTATATTTTCCAAAATAGTTTCGGGCTGTTTAGGGAGTTATTAAGTCGCTCAAGTCTTGACGATTGGATATCATATTTGAACTTTCTGCAAGAAGATTTATAAATGTTTCTAAGTCTGCAGTAACCTTTACGATTATATTCACTACGACATCGTCTAAATTTTCTTAGGGCTTTCCTGCTTTCTGTCCTCGCTTGTCTACAAGCTTTATTCAATTTAGGTTTACTAGTTCCAGGATCAAAATGCTTCATTTGTCTTTTCATACTTGAAGCTGAATGAAGAAGACAATGTACAAAATCTGCAATACCCTCTTCATGGGAATTTTCAAGTTTAGTTAATAAAGAATTATCATTGATATGCAGCATCTGTCTCAATGATGCAGTAAATAAGTCTACCTTCGATTCATCCCAGACAAATCTAAAGTCAGCGTCATGGTCATCACAATCTACAGTACGCTTAGCATGACTGCTTAAAGGAAACCTGCAAGATAACTCAAGGGGGAAATGGTCGGAGTCCAACCGATCACCAACATTTAGCATTTCTACAAACTCAAAAAAACTAACAGATGCAAGAAAATAATCAACAACACTAGAACCCCTTTCTCCTACATAAGTAAACTCGCCGCCTTTGTCACCTTCAACTCTCCCGTTCAATATATACAGACGACAAACATAACACAAATCCAATAAAATGCGTCCAAATCTATTAATAGTAGAGTCATGTGACGCCCGCTGCTCGACAGGGCATTGTCTTCTTCAATATATACATCATCATTACCAAAGTCTACACTTTGCTCAAGGATTGGATTATTTTCATTAGCTGTGCGAGCATTAAAATCCCCACAAAGTAATATATGTGATGACGTCAAATCAGTCCAATGATCCAGTATAAAAGCCTCAAGTTTATCAATAAGGCAACCAGAATTATTATTTCTGTTGTAAAATGTAGAGCCTACAGGCGGAACATACATACACAACAACATGAAATCATTAATTAAACTAAATGTAGCTTTGGGAAATTTTAGACATATCAAATTGTCTATCTGTGTGTTAAGTTGAAAGCACTGGTTCACAATTTCTTGTCTCACACAAACACACACCACCAGAACATCTACCTGATGAAGATAGTTTCACTGCTGGGGCAAAGTATGTCTGATATCCAGGTAGCCAGTACAAGTTCGCAAAATCAGTGATAAATGTCTCCGTTAAACACACAATATCAAATGACTTGAGATAAGCTATACAGTCAAGGTCATCAAACTTTTTACACAAGCCACTAATGTTCCATGATAATACTGACAGTTTATTGTTACAGGTGCGCGAGTAGTTTCCATCCTGTGAGAGAGGATCCTGGGCCTGGCCGCACTGCTATCTCCTGTTATGAATGTCACTTCGCCTCGTTTGTCGATTGGTTTCTCCAATCTTCCGTGTCTTGGGGTTGCGCATCATTACGTGGTTTAGTCATCAGCTTACCATTTTAAAGTAGCCGATCAATCCCTGGGCTCTAGCATCCTTAAGTTGTTGGCGTTGTCTGGCGGTTAAATCATTGGAGACGCCATAGCCGTTACTCTTGAGTGTTGCTCGTGATTTCAGAACCTCGATCTTGTCATCAGAGAGGCGTAGTTTAGCGATGAGCGGTCTCGGTTTAGAGATGTCAACACGTTGGGGGCCGAGTCGATGTGGATCGTATGACGTCATCAGCAATCCAGGTCTTAGTCTTTACATTATTGTTCAAAATGTCAAGTACTTTGAACTTACAATCGTTGTGCGACTCCCTGTATCCTCTGCAACGTTGTATAGAATAATGTTGTCACGTCTGCTGAAGGCTTCTGGTTTGTCGATCTCGCTGTCGAACTGTGAAATTTTCTCCTCTACTTTTCCATCTGGACGGAGATCAAGGAGACGTCCTCATACATTATGTCCTGATTGTGACGCACATTTCCAGATCACTATGGAGGTTTGACAGCTTTGTTTCGAGATCTGTAAACCTGGTGCTTAAATCGCGCACTTCTCTCGAGAGTGAGCTGATCTGGCCTCCAAGCTCATGCTTCACGTTCTGTACCTCCTTCAGTATGGTGTCCCTAACTTCGTCTAGGGTCACTGGTCCAGGGTTCATTTCTACGTCGTTAGCACACAGAATCCGATGTGTTATAACCCCAGCCGGCACGGGATTACCTCCTAATAGACAGGCGTCGGGCGTACGTTGAGATTGAGCTACCCAAGCTGTACAATCAGCTTCAACAGGCAAGACGTCAGTGGCATATACAAGTTCATAAACATGCTCTTTTGGTAAATATGAGTGAAAAATCGATATTTTCACATGTGATCATAACAGCATAACTCAATCCCATGTGCAGTGAAAACATCATTGCACACAAAACAAGTCTGAAATGCACATCAGTACCAACGACAGTAGGTGAATACTCGCCATGTTTGTCGAGCGTTACTTGCCGGGTGCCCTTGGGTTGAGAGAAGAGTCCCAATTCTTGCTCTATATACGCCAATCGACACCATTTCTTCTTTTGAAAAGGTCACTTGTAGTATCACACACACGTTTTACACCACCTATGATGTCATAAGTGTGGATTATCACGAGTAAATCAATATATAGTCATTTTTTCCCGAGAGCAACAACACACACGTCTTCTCACCAACGCATGCGCATTCAGAATTGAAAAAATATTGAATTGAATTGACAGATTTGCTTCTCATTACAACGCAAAAGTGTCAACTTTGTGTTCAAGATTCTGGGATCAAGGATGTGTTGCAATAGATGCGTTCACTGAGCATTGGGGTGATACAAACAACTGGATTGTTCCACCTGTGTATCTTGTTTATAGAGTTCTGGCTCATATGAAGGTATGCAAAGCTAAAGGTACTTTGGTTGTGCCAGCGTGGTACTCTGCCAGTTACTGGCCATTGTTGTGTCCGAAAGGAACTTTCATACCTGAGGTGCTTGATTTCATGTATTTACCCAGAGACAAGGAAGCTTATGTACCCAGCCGGATTCAAGGGGGTATGTTTGGTGAGAGAGACTTAACCTTTGACATGTTGGCAATCAATATGAAATACTGATTAACTTATTCTCTTTGCAGATGTCTTTGAGATTGCGTACGCTGATGACATTCATAGCCTTTCAGGCCCAGGCAGAGAGTTGGTTAGTAGAATTCCAGAACTTTTGCAATTTGCACGAGCTGATTCAACTAATAAGAAATATGATTATGGAATGCAGAGGTGGTTAAAGTGGGCGAGAAGTAATGGTATGCCTGTACATTTTCCCTATAAACCTTTACATTGTGCCATTTACCTAGTTTCTGTGATGCAACTAAGCCATTCTTTTCGCCCGTTCATGCGGCTTTTTATAGCATTCGTCATGCTCATAGTATTATTATAGGCTTGCCCAGATCCTACTGATAATCTTCTGGTGAGAAATGTGTTGGGAGGCTGCTAAGCGGAAGTTGGCTAAACAAGTGTGTACAAAAGAGCCTATATCTATCGATATATTAGAAAGTTTGGTTGATTTTTATTCGGATACAGGATGTTTGAAAGATGTCCGCATAGTGTCAATGTGCCTGCTTGCCTATGCTGGAGTTCCTGAGAGATCTGCAGAGTTGCTCTGTTTGAGACGCACTGACATTTTGATTTATAAAGCTTATATGATGGTTTTCATTGAGAAATCAAAGACCGATATGTATAGAGACGGGGCATGGTTATTGATCAGCAGGACAAGTTCCAAGATGTGTCCAGTCATGTGGTTGGAGAAGTATCTGGCGTTAACACAGTTTCCCGAAGAATCACAAGAGTACTTGTATAGGAACATTTCCAAGTGCCATGATAGGTTTGTCCTTAGAAAAGAAAATAGAGCTATGACTTATTCTCGTTTGAGAGTTGTTTATTGAAACGTGTTCTCCTTTCGTTTCTGATATTAGACAGTACGGCTTGGCTACACACAGTTTGCGTGCAGGTGGTGCCTCTGCGGCTGCTAACAGTGGCATCCCGGACAGGATGTTTAAGAGGCATGGCAGATAGAAAAGCGAGAGCGCTAAAGACGGTTATGTCAAAGATTCTGTAGAGAACCGTTTGCGAGTGTCGCAGTCACTTGGCCTCTAGTTTGCCCGTTCTTTGAGTCTCGCGGTGGTGCACAGCATAGCCATCCAATGTGTGTTATGTTATTTGTTGTATTGTGTTGCAAGGGCTAGGAGAAATGATATTTTTATCGTTTGAGGGACGAATGAGATAGAAATTACTTTCTCCTAGCGTAGGAATACAAACAAAGGGGTGTAATTCAGTCGTAGGTGGCGCCTAATGAGAGTATATATAAGGCGTATGATATTTGAATTGTCATTCTCGCTTGTTGTGCACCAAGTATACATTGCGTCATGGATACTTCTGAAAAGTTTTGATATTGTACTTTAACCTATTCTAAATGTTTCAGGTCATTGTATGGCTCGGTGCCATGAGAGCAGCTCGTTGCTACAGGAGAGGTTCGTCGCCTTTTGAGAGAGCTTGTCGCCGTTGGCTATGCTTGGAGCCGATAGAGGCTTGTCGCCACTTGAGAGGTTTGTTGCCATTTTGAGAGGCTTGTCGCCGTTGGCCATGCTTGGCGCCACTTGAGAGGCTTGTTGCCATTTTTGAGAGGCTTGTCGCTGTCGGCCGTGTTTGGTGCCGACTGAGAGGCTTGTCGCCGTCTGCTGGGCTCCGTTGCCAGTTGGTATTGGTTTGTCAGTGTCTCTGAGAGACTTGTCGCCTGCTTCCGTTGAGGCTTGTACATACTTGTAAATATATAT